ACCCAGGCCACTGGCATTTCTGGCGGATCTCCCGGGACCACCCCCGCCGTGTCCACTCCGGTCACGGGACACAAGCGCATGGTCATTCCCAACCAGCCTCCCTTGACCGCCACCAAAAAGTCGGCCACCCCCAAGCCCGGCGTCCAACCCATCCCGGTGACACCCGTCGGAACCCTGAAGCCTCAGCCCGTTCCGGCACCCTACGCTACGGCCGCCACCCCCACCCGCCCCCCGTTCAACGTGCAGGTGAAATCGGCTCATCCTGCCCCCCACTTCCCACCCTCGGCTCCCCAATATGGCAGCCTGGGCCCCCAGCCTGCTTCTTCCATGGGGTCCTATGTGCCGCCGCAACCTCGGGCACCCGATTATGGTTACGTGCCCCCACCAGCGATGGGTTACGGTTCCGCGCCACTGCCGGCCCGCCAGCCAGAACCGTCCTACGGTGGGAGCGCCACCCAAAGAGGCTGGGAGGGAGCCGAGCCTTCCTATGGGCCCCCTGGAAGCGCCTGGAAGCCTGAGCCAGCCTACCCTCCAGCTGTGGGGCAGTACCCGTCCTCTGGAGCCAGGAAGACCTACGGTTTTGAGCCAGCACCGGCCTCTCAGCTGCCCGCCTTGCAACCAAAGGTAAGCACCCAGGAGAGAGTCGAATAGGGATGCAAAATTTACATATTTTGGGCAGTCATCTGTCAACTGGTCTGTCTCTCTCTCTCTCTCTGTCTATCCTATCATCTTTCTTTCTGTCTATCATTAATGTCTTATCATCCATCTATCTACCTACCTACCTACCTAATCTATCATTTCTATCTCTATCTCTTATATCTAGATCTGTATCCATCTATCCATCCATCAATGCATCTCATCTGTCTGTCTGTCCATCTATTCATCTCTCTCTCTATTTATCTGTCATCTACCTACCTACCTACCTAATCTCTCTCTTTCTTTCTCTTTATCTGTCTGTCTATCTATCTATCTATCCATCCTCATCATCTATCATCAATCATCTATCTCTATCATTATGTATTTATTTATTTATTTATTTATTTATTTATTTTTGAATTTGTATACCGCCCTTCTCCCTGAGGACTCAGGGCGGTGAACAGCCAGATAAAAACACCAGATACAAATATTAAAACACATTTAAAAATATATATAGATTTGGCCCCGTTAATTAAAAACGATCAGCAAAACAGAACAATTAATAATTAATGTATCATGTTTCTATCCATCCATTCCTTCATTTATCATATCTATCTATCTTTCTGTCAGCCTGTCAGCCTATCATCAATCAGTCAATCTTTTCTATCTATCATTATGTATCATCTATCCATCCATCCATCCATCCATCCATCCATCCATCCATCCATTCATTTATCATATCTATCTCTGTCTGTCTGGCATATATCCATCCATCCATCCATCCATCTATCAATCTATCTATCAATCAATCAATATCTCTATCTCTCTATCATTATTTATCTAGCTATAATTTATCTATATCTATCACCGATCAGTCCTATCTATCCATCTATTATCTGTCATCTATCTACCGTGTTTCCCCGAAAATAAGACCCCATCTTGTATTTTTTTGAACCCTGAAATAAGCGCTTGGCCTTATTGCCATGCGCTAAAAACCCGATTGGGCTTATTATTAGGGGAGGTCTTATTTTCGGGAAAACATCTCCCCCCCCCTCTCTCTCTTCTCCCCCTCCCTCCCTCCCTCCCCACCTACCTATTAAATTTGTCTGCTGCAAAGGCGAGTCTGGGCAGCTTACAGACATTGATTAAAATACACTATAAAACGTTAAAACAGTAAATAAAGATCTGGAATTTATAAAAATGCTATTAAAAAAAAACTAAGCAGGGTGGAGACAGAGGGAGCAGGTGGGGTGTTCTCTATTCCATCAGCTACCCCCAAAGTGCCACACTCCCATTGGGGCCCCTGGCTAGTTGGCACAGTCCTGTCTCCAAGGCAAGGCTGCATCCTGGTGCCACCTGGAGTGGGTGCCACATCCACGGATGCTGAGACTTGAAACTTCAGTGAGTCCAGTGGGTTTGCAGGCTCTGTGTGTGTGCAATGGTGTGTAAAATATTGTGTATCACACCCAGCTTCTTTCTTTCTTTCTTTCTTTCTTTCTTTCTTTCTTTCTTTCTTTCTTTCTTTCTTTCTTTCTTTCTTTCTTTCTTCTTCCTTCCTTCCTTCCTTCCTTTCCTTCCTTCCTTCCTTCTTTCTTTCTTTCTTTCTTTCTTTCTTTCTTTCTTTCTTTCTTTCTTTCTTCTTCCTTCCTTCCTTCCTTCCTTCCTTCTTTTTTTCTTCCTTCCTTCCTTCCTTCCTTCCTTCCTTCCTTCCTTCCCTCCTTCCTTCCTTCCTTCCTTCTCTCTCTCTCTCTCCCTCCCTCCCTCCCTCCCTCCCTCCCTTCTTCAAACAATCTGGGGATCTTCTCTCCCCGAAAAATTAAAAGCTATTATTCAAGTTGGTTCGAGGCGTCTGATGGTTCCTCTTTTCAGCCTGGAGTGGTGGAAGGACTTTTAAAAGATTAATTGTTAGCAACTGTTAAGAGTTAATTTCTCTTCTGCCCTTTCCTTTTTAAATATAGAACGCGATATCGCATTGTTTTCTGCTGGCTTCCTAGCTCAGGACGGCTGATAGACGTAAGGCATTGTTTCGGCTTAATGTTCCTCCTTAAATTAGGAAGAAAGACTTTTTCAGGATGTCTTTGTTCAGCAGTTTTGGTGCCAGTTCTACAACGTACATCGAACACAGAATAATAAGAGTTGGAAGGGACCCCAGAGGTCTTCTAGTCCAGCCCGCTGCTCGAGTAGGAAACGCTAGACCCGTGATGGCAAACCTATGGCACGCATGCCATAGGTGGCACATGGAGCCATATCGGTGGGCACGTGAGCTCAGCTCTGGTGTGCATGTGCATGTCGGCCAGCTGATTTTCGGGCCTTCTGGGTCCCATCGGAAGTCGGCAAACAGGCTGTTTCTGGCCTCCGGAAGGCCTCTGGGGGTGTGTGGGGAAGGCTGTTTTCGCCCTCCCCAGGCTCCTAGAAAGGCTCTGGTGCCTGGGGAGAGCAAAAAATGGGCCTACCGGGCCCATCGGACCATCGCTTTTGGGGGGAGTGTGGGGGATCACACGCGCAGGGTGCATAGAATTATGGGTATGGGCATGCGTGCACACGACCCCCCCCCGCGCTCCCCCCCCCCGCTTTTGGCTTTGTTACCTTATAATTATTTTAATATTTATTTATGTTTTTATGCTGTACTCCATCCAGAGTTGTTTGGCACGAGATGGGTGGCAAATTTCATAATAAATAAAAAAAAAATAAACAAACAAAGGGTCAGGGAGTCCTTGACCTATGACTAAAATGGAGGCCCAAACTTCTGTTGCTAAATGAGACAGTTGGTAAGCGAGTTTTGCCCCATTTTAAGACCTTCCTCGCCACGGTCATTAAGTGAGTCACCTGGTTGTTAAGGGAATCCGGCTGCCCCATTGACAAAGGGGGATCATGTGACCCTGGGACACTGCAACGGTCGTACGTATGAGTCAGTTGCCAAGCGTCTGAATTTTGACCACGTGACGAAAAGGATGAGGAAGCTTCCGTGGTCAGTAAGTGGGGAAAAAAAGTCATAAATCGCTTTTTTCAGTGCTATTGTGATTTTGAACGGTTGCTAAACGAACTGTTGTAAGTCGAAGACGACCTGTAATGTTTCTCTGCATTGTTGCAAGGACGGCAAACAGAAAAATGCATTCAAAACAGCGTCGGTCTCCAAGTCTTCCCTCGGCCGCCTTTCAAAGGCTCCAGAAATTCAAGAACTTAAGTGTGTGTGTGTGTGAATGGTTTTATATATATATATATATACCAATATATATATAACAGGATAGGATAGGATATTTTTATATATTTTCTTTTGAGGGCGGGCATCAGAATTTCATTTTTTAATTTGTGCCAGTGTGTTCACAGGAAAAAGTGATATTAAAGATTATCTTATCCTATTCCATCCCATCCCATCGTATATCCTCTCCTCTCCTCTCCTCTCCTCTCCTCTCCTCTCCTACATCCTACATCCTACATCCTACATCCTACCCTACCCTATCCTATCCTATCCTATCCTATCCTATCCTATTTCCTCTTGTCTTGTCCCTACATCCTATCCTATCCTATCCTATCCTATCCTACCCTACCCTACCCTACCCTACCCTATCCTATTTCCTCTTGTCTTGTCCCTACATCCTATCCTATCCTATCCTATCCTATCCTATCCTATCCTATCCTATCCTATCCTATCCTATCCTATCCTATCCTATCCTATTTCCTCTCGTCTTGTCCCTACATCCTATCCTATCCTATCCTATCCTATCCTATCCTATCCTACCCTACCCTACCCTACCCTACCCTACCCTATCCTATTTCCTCTTGTCTTGTCCCTACATCCTATCCTATCCTATCCTATCCTATCCTATCCTATCCTATCCTATTTCCTCTCGTCTTGTCCCTACATCCTATCCTATCCTATCCTATCCTATCCTATCCTATCCTATTTCCTCTTGTCTTGTCCCTACATCCTATCCTATCCTATCCTATCCTACCCTACCCTACCCTACCCTACCCTACCCTACCCTACCTTATCCTATCCTATCCTATCCTATTTCCTCTCGTCTTGTCCCTACATCCTATCCTATCCTATCCTATCCTATCCTATCCTATCCTATCTTATCCTATCCTATCCTATCTCCTATCCTATTATTCCTATTCTATTCTATTCTATTCCATTCCATTCCTTTGCTTTATTCCCATTCTATTCTATTCTATTCTATTCTATTCTATTCTATTCATTCTATTCTATTCTATTCTATTCTATCCTATCCTATCCTAATCTCATCTCTTCTCTCCTCTCCTCTCCTCTCCCCTCCCCTCCTATCCTATATCTTATATCTACTTTACATCCTATCCTTTCTTATGTTATCTCATCTCATCTCGTCTCATCATCTATTGCAACAGCCGATGCTTTTATTTCTATCGGTGGTCGTCCAATTTCCCCAACCGTCCCGAAGTCCCTTGTTAGAGGAAACTTTTGTGATTTTCCCCCTTCCCCAAAACCTAAGTTTAGATTGGATCTGAATGGCGCCTACATCCAAAAGCCAACAGGGGAAGAATAGAGCGGCTGCATCTAAGCTGTCTGGTTTTCTCGCCTGAATTCTCGAGCTGACATTGTTGCTGAGTTGTGCAAGACCCACACATGAAAAGAATCCTGTGAGCTCCTTGAAGGAAAAAAAAGAAAATCCAGGCCTTTGAGAAAGACAAAATAAAATTCTCCACCAACTCCCCAAAATTGTTAAGCGACTTCTCCGGAAAACTTTTCTATTCTATTCTTTTAAACAAGCAAACTCGGTTCTTTGTCTGCATGGCAAACCTTGTTTGTTCCAGCAGAAAAAGCTGTATGTGTGGGAAGGAGAGAAAACTTTGAATTAAGAATCTGCACGCCTGGCGGGCACCTCAGAGATCAACTTGACCAACCCCCCAAACTCCTAAGAACACCCACGCGTTTCAAATAAAGGATATTTCATTCCAGCTTCGATTCTCAACGAAATAACGCAGACTCAGAACCTGGCGAGGGAAATTGA